CCCCTGATCCAATATGATGCAAGACCATGCGACTGCTTCCGAAACTCCCAAAGGCTGAACGACTGAAAACCCCGGCGAGAGATCCCCCTAAACCCGAGACTTTAGGGATGGATCGGGATGAGAGGTTTAGGGTTTACAGGGTGCAGTGCAGGTCCATTAAAATTCCTGCTGGACACAACCGACCCAAGCCCCTTTCGAACATCAAAAGTCATAACACATGAAACCCATTATAAGGTCAATGGGTTTAGGGTTTAGGGGTTTAGGGTCCCGCAATCCCCACACAATACCTGAACACTGAAATCCACCCCCACATCTGACTTGTCTTTAGAATCATCAGGACTTATGGGGTTGAACAAGAGGTTCAGGTACTAAGTACTGGTTGAAGGCCATATGGAGCTCCGGATTCTGAGCTTTGCATCTAGGAGCACTATATATGTAAGATAGATGTCTAGGGGTTCCATCCATATCTATATATATATATAATATGTATGTAGACATACATATATATATACAGATAAAAACATATACATGTACATATACGAATATAATCTGGATGTAAGCTTGTGCTCGGTTTGAAGGTTGAGGGTGGGGTTTTGAAAGCCAGATCCCCAATTCTCAAAACCGGAGATGCTAAACCATACAAGTTCCTAGCTTAAAGCCTCCGTCCCCAAACCAAACCCCAAACCCTCCCCCCTTCCCCGTGTAAAGCGAGCCGATGGTGCATCGTCCAAACACCAGAGCCGTGGCCGCCTGGGCATCGGATAAAGAATTTAGGACTTAGGCCGTCTAGGGTTTAGGGTTTGGGTGGTACCTACATAGACTATATATGTGTATATGATATATGTATATGTATATGTATATGTATATGTATATGTATATGTGTGTGTGTATATAGATAGATATAGATAGATATATATATATATATATTATGTAGGTATACCCCAAAGCCCAAACTGCAATTTTGAAGCTTCGCCAACACCAGAAACCCTAAGCCCAGTATATTAAAAACACCTTATATAATTTCGAATAGCGAGCAAAACAGAACACCTAAACCCCAAAAGCCCGAGCTTAAAAGTATAATGCCCAAAAGCGCCAGAAGTAGCAGTGGAGAGAGAGAG